ATGGGACAGCCGGCTTTACTTCCCCTCCGAAGGAAGGCGTACGAAGGATTTTCTCGCCCTTAAAAATCAACGGCTTCGATCGGGTGCGCAAGTCATGTCACTGCAGTGTCTCTGACCAGGAGGTCCGACGTTCTTGTTCCGACTCTGGCAGAGCCTTCGACACTAGCAAGATACTCGTAGCTAGGTCGAATTCAACCGCTGTCTGGAGGAGGATTTTTGAGACTTGCTGTTCTGGTCGGTACTTTTTCGCGGTTTCTCCGATCAACACCGGCGAATGTCGGAGCAGTATCTTAACAAACGGGCCACGATCCGCGCGCATGTTTTCTTTCTATTCCATGCCCTATCCTCTCCCATTACTCAAACCTACACTAACATACTCTACACTACGGAAAAGGGTCGGGAGCTTAGACACTGTCCTAGATTCAGAGGTGTTCTGCTGATAAGCGATATTTGGGTGAGATAAACCCAGGAAGCCGACGTGGTCAGCTCCAGATCTCGTCATCCGCGGGCGTAAATCATGGCCATCTCCGTGATAAAACCATACACTATACTTACGGGACTAATGACCTTGACAGTTGACGCCCTTGGAATCATCAATCAATCGAATATCTCGCCGGCCGCGAAAGACGGGTGCTAGGCTGCGCTATTTGCAGCCGGCATGGGCTCCCTTTATCAAGGCGATAATTCGAATATGTTATTACTATTATTACTAATTAGTATTACTAATTAGTATTACTAATTAGTATTGATAATTAGTATTACTAATTAGTGTTACTAATTAGTATTACTAATTAGTATTACTAATTAGTATTACTACTAATTATTATTATTACTAACATATTGATATTCTTATATTTTGTGTTATTTACTGAAACCGAGTTGTGTTCAATTGCGGTCTTATTTTATAAATAATATAGATTGAATTATTGGTTCCAAAAGTCGAAGTGTGACATACATTGTACAATTCAGTGGAATAAACTGTGTACACAAGTGATGTACAGTGTAGTCGCAAGAGATATAAATAACATGTGGAATTTATAAATGGCATAATTCATAGTCATAAAGGGTGTATATTATACGACTTTCACGGCTATATAATGGTGTCGCCCATGTCTGGGCCTTGTTAATTCCCACTCTCGAGAGGTAAGAGC